GCTGTCGCGGCAACAGCCGATTTCTTACATTTCGGCCAGGCAATGAGAGAGCCGACTGAGTCGATGGTCTCGAGCCACTCAGAAAAATAGGCAGATCCCATGGACAGTGGGAATCGATGATATGCGAAGCACGAATGAGAAATGTTGATATGTCGTTTTAAAATCAGCACTATGTTTCGAGGTGGAAGTAAATGATTCTTTACATGACTTCCGTGTCATGATTATCAAGTTTGGATGTGTCGATTACCTTCGTCATCTATTCACATCACGTGATATCAATTTTAGTATACGTGCAGCTAGCGAAACTGGCCACGAGCACGCTATGAGCATGGTATGTTGTGATGTTCTTAGATGACACTCATTCAGTATGATGATGTTTGCACCAGTGCATATAGTTCGTCATCCATTGACGTCACGTAACACCAAATTTGGTATATGTGGAGCCAGCAAAACGGCCACGAGTGCATCATCTAGGGCCCAATCTACTCCAATGTAGCGTTGACGCGCACGCACGCTGGGCACAACGGCGCTACGTTAGCAAAACGCGAGCACTCCATTGTCTCACTCTAGGCGTGACCAGCATCCGTCGGCGCAGCCCGACGAAACCAGCGCGAAATGCGACAAGCTGCATTTCGTGCCGTTACGTGACGCAGGGATACCGGACGCTCTGAAACGCGCACGCGTCAAAGCAACGCAGCGCAGTGCGTGCCTGCGAGTATATGGCAGAAAATACGTCTGAATGTATCGGCACCTCGACTGTTGCATGTAGTCATGTCCTCACATGACAAGCATCTCATGATTATCATGTTTGCAGCAGCCACATACCTTTGTCATCCATTGGCGTCATGTAATACCGAATTTGGCATATGTGAAGCTAGAGAAACGACTGCGAGCGCATCATCAGTGTGGCATGTAGTCATGTTGTAACACATGACATGCATGTCATGAATATCATGTTTGGATGTGTCATTTTCCTATGTCATCCATTCGCGTCGCGTAACACTGAGTTAGCTACATGTGAAGCTAGCGAAACGGCCACGAGCGCATCAAGAGCGTAGCAACGCATTTCATTAATAGCATGTTTGCACCAGTCACATACCTTCAATCTATTCCCGTCCCTTAATACCAAATTTACTGTTTGTGAAGCTAGCGAGACGGCCTCTGGTGCGTCATGAGTGTGAAACGTAGTCATGTTACATGACACGGATCTAATGATTATCACGTTTGCACCAGCCACATGCCTTCGTCATGCATTCACGTCCCGTAACACACAATTTGCTATATGTGAAGCTAGCGAAACGACTGCGAGCGCACCATGTGCGTGGCGTGTAGTTATTTTTCATGACTTATACGACATGCATGTCATAATTTTCATGTTAGGGCCTGTCACTAGTGTTCGCCATGCAGTAATGTCATACCATGCCAATTTCGCAACATGTCATGTGAACAAATCCAGTGCAAGAACATGAAGACCATGAAATGTAAATCATGACATTCGTGACATACATATGATGATAGTCATGTTAAGACTAGTCAATTGTGCTCGGCATACAGTCATGTTGACCCATACCGAATTTGGTATTGATACCATTAACGAAACGGCCAGGAGAGCTGAAAGACAGTTAGATAGTTAGACAGTTAGATAGATAGATAGATAGATAGATAGATAGATAGATAGATAGATAGATAGATAGATAGATAATGGAGGCCTAAATGTTGTAGGCCCGTGTGCTCAAATTTGGGTGCACGTTAAAGAACCCCAGGTGGTCAAAATTTCCGGAGCCTTCAACTACGGCGTCTGTCATAATCATATGGTGGTTTTGGAACGTTAAACCCCACATATCAATCAATAGATAGATAGATAGATAGATAGATAGATAGATAGATAGATAGATAGATAGATAGATAGATATATAGATAGATAGATAGATAGATAGATAGATAAATAGATAGATAGATAGATAGATAGATAGATAGATAGATAGATAGATAGATAGATAGATAGATAGATAGATAGATAGATAGATAGATAGATAGATAGATAGATAGATAGATAGATAGATAGATAGATAGATAGATAGATAGATAGATAGATAGATAGATAGATGCACTCAATGTCACTGATGTTCGCTAAGAAATGCTTCGCATTCAAAATTTGGTGAGCCTGAGGGCGAGTGAGTCCCAAGCGCGAGATACACTTTCTGAGTGAGTTTAACTTATGCTTGCCTGTCTATGATCCTATCTACTCATATTCAACATTACTATCAGCCTCATACATAGAATCATGTTTATGCTACCGCCTATACTCACAAGTACTACAAAGTAGTATCGTTCATACACCATTTCAATATTAATTTATCAAAGGACTTAATTACGTACCAAGGTGAATTTTACTTTCAGCTCTCTCGCCAAATAATCCAGCGGAAGTTTTTGTTAAATATGTATTTAATGTTGCGATCCCCTTCGACAAAAATGTCCTTCCACATTAAGTCACAACTCGTGTTCGAAAGTACCATATCAAAGGGGCCAAGAAGAGCACTCATGCGAGATATGGTGTTTAGAGCATTGACACCAAGAAAAAAAAATGCTATATCTAGACCTATATAATCATGAGTCGACTCACTCAGACTAAAATTAGGATCGAGTTTAAAGTCTGATTGAGCCCACGTGAGTAATATTATGCTGAGTTTGAGCCTGAGCGAGTCTGGTTGTAGAAAATTTTCGTGAGCGTGAGACCGTGTGCAACCGGCTCACTAAAATTTTGCCAGGAAGTCTGAGTGTGTCCTAAGGGCAGAATATATTTCATGAGTGAGTCTGAGGGAGTTCCACAGCTTTTACCAATATATAAAGAAACTACACAAAGTGACGTGGGTGTTTTTGTAAACGTTGGCGAAAAATGGTGTTTTGTAAACGTTGGCGAAAAAGTCTTTATAATGGGCTCTCACGCCCGATGACAATTTATGGTTTTCCCGCGCAACACTAGTGTTATTTTACATGCTGTATTGTGAAGCCTGTTTAGGAGACGCGTGTGTTTGTAAATGATTAAGGTTATTTTTGCTGATTCTGCAAGCACAGGAAGTTATTTGAGCTGTGTTTTTAGAGACGCGTGGCAGTGTGGCGGAACACGTGCTTGCTACGCAAGTGGCATGGCTTCAATCCTTACTTGAACTTGAACAGTTTTATTATACATTTTGTTTGCATCTTTCTCGATGTCTTGGTCACCCAGAGAAGGATAATTTTTGTTGACAACCAAAGACGCTGACGATGATGTGAATGCCAGCGTCGTGATGCCCTGTAATGAGCTCTTTAATGCTTTCGCCTTAAAACAACTTCACTGTAGGGGCTTCTAAGCCTGATGGAAGGGCTGATCTGCCCAGCTTTTTTTGTTTCATTGTTTTTTCCTGCCCATTTTATTGGTTGTGTGCTGCAAGTGTGCATGCAGTAGCTGCCTCATGAGCGTTTAAAAAGGCTCTATAAAGGACACTCTGCCAGCTTTCGCTGTGACTGTGCTGCGCGTTTCGTGCTGGCCTAGAGTTTATTTTTTTTTTTTGAATTTCGTAGAACTACTGGTTGTCCCCAGAATTTACCACGTGTACATTCCGCACTGCCTGCGACGCTTGAAACGACCTGCTGTTCACGTTTTGATGCTTGAGGTTAAAACGCCTGAGCATCACCACCGGCGATTTCTGACTTGTACGCAAGCCGCATAAGAGACACAGACGTAGTTGAGAAATAGGAACAATAACGTACCACAGAATTCCTGCTATTACACAATACTCATGCGTTTTGTGAGGCTTTGACAATAAATACCAAAAAGACAAAGCAATGAACGTGCCCAAGCTCATTCAATATGCATGCCTGTTGTGGGTTGTAACATCATTCACAAAATTCAGCCAGCTCCACCTCGAGTACGGTGATGAAACAGCTGAATCGGTGGCTTTCCCTACATTAGGCCGTAGCAATTTTATGTTTCGCAAGCCTGTCAGGTATGTTCTATCACATCTTCTTCTTAAAAACACTTTGTTAAGCTTTGAATCGCTAGCTTATTCACCATCTTCTGTAACATCAGTGCGTCACGTGGAAAAGGTGTGACCATGGTACCAGTGCGCCATTCGCTGGCGTAGCTTTGCCCTTTTTTTATAGCGGAAGTTGTCTGTAATGGTATTAACTGAATTTCTGTGGCTCGTACGCGTTTATGGTGATGAGAGTTTTCTCATAGGCCGCATACATTTAGGTGGCACATAACCTGTTTCTTTGGCTAACTTAACTGTCCTCATTTTTTGTGCACCTGCACTGAGTAATCCGAGTTACCTGATTTGTGTGACGCTAATACGTCTACTCTGCCCAAAATAGCACCACAGCACCATGGAAACCGGTCAGCAAAGACTCGATTAAGAAGAGTTTCGCTGTTTAAACGACAGTGCGACACAGGGCCCTCGATGTTTCATAAGTCCCGTGATTTCAGCTCGAATGTGCAAAAGTTGTCTATGTTGTATAGACAACCGATAAACGGTCTGATGTGACTGTTTTGCTCATAAAGTTCAGATGGCTATATTGCGCTTTCTCACCTTGTTATGCAAGAAGAGTGTGCTCACTAAATTCACCTCCATGAAAATGTCGGCGACTGTATGATACATACATGATGACAGCAGTATACCGGAAAGACTGTTTTTACGTACATTAGTGTCGCATATAAAAAGCGTACGTAAACGATGTGTCATATACTTTGTGTTGGCTTGTTATGGAAGAAAATTCGTCGTTCAAGCTTAGTTCCATTGTGTACCATGTGCTAATGAAGCCAATAGGCTCCTTTGCGCTATTGGGTGAAGTCAGAACAACAGTCTCGGTGAAAAGCAGCACAGCCTCTGCCAATACATAGGGGACATGGCTTGAAACTGACTTTCAGTTATACGGCCAGAGCACTGATTGAAAAAACATTCGTGTATTTCAGTATAGAGACAATTGTGCGAAGGAATGCGATATAGAGGACAAAGAACCGATCAATATAAATATTTCAAAGAAGAAGTATATTTTTATTCAAGCAACGCGTCAAACACTTTGCGCCCTCATTTCGAAAGCAGAATTGAGGCATGTCTAGTGCACCATGTCCCACAGCTTCTTGGCTTGAGTAATGGCTGGGCCGAAAACTTCATTAAAATAGGGCAATGCGCCCTTCACACGATCGTAGTACGCGGCAAGCTTTGGGTATTTGGCTCTGTTGACGCATGGAAGCTGCAAAAAGAAAAAAAGTTAACGACATTAATAGGTAGGTTGATCACTCTATTAGCCATGCTGAATTATGTACCAATACCTGAACACATGAAGGTGGCATTCAAAGCAAAAGCTAGTGTGTATTTATGTATTGTACATATTAGCGTCTCCCGTTTTATAAGGAACACACTCATATCTGAAACTTTTTCGCTCTTCTGCTGTAGCTCAAGCGCTAAGTGAGTGTATAAGACAATGGACGCTGGTCTTCGCTGCATTCTCTTAGTAAATGTAATACGGTGTTCTTCAGCGGTATATGCAATGTGAACACCCTTCAACGTCATTCGTTTCGTGCGAACATCCTTTAATTTCTTTTCTAAAAACCATATTTTATCGGAGCTCCGCTGTTACTACTATGCCTATACTTTTATGTGTTTTTATGTTAAAGATAAAGCGAGGTTAATCTCTGAGATGGTGCATTTTACTTTTGTCGAGTGACAGTTTTTAGATTACAAGGTTTCTGTTTGTGTCGGCCTTCATCACTCCGTTATTGCTCTTCTTTTTAATTGTGAATAGTATCTTTGTTTACATAAGGTTCGACAGTTCTGCAGACTTAATCTACACAACTAGTTTGGATGAATAAAGTTCTGTACTGAAGTAAAGTAGCAAATCAAGCTATTTGGAACATTTTTGTCACAACCAATGCAGGAAAAAAACACGAAAACACAACGATGCACACGAAATAAATGCTGTCTAACAACATAAAGGTTGAATGAAATAAACATGGTAACTGTAATAATAAACGAATGCACTAATAACTTTACCAACCACAATCAAGCATGTAATCACGTATGGTGTCGATATTAAACTTCAGCATCAGTGATAGTGGTTGAGGTCTGGCTCACACGCTTCTAATTGCTTTTACGATTTCAAACACTGCAGCGATTTAACGTGTGCGCTGGTTCATTAGCCTCATCATGACAGCGGTTTTGTTTAGCTCAGCTGCGCAACTGCACTGCCAGAAATGAAGGGAAAGATGCGTAGATGGTGTACCTTTCAGACAGCTGGCGTGCTTCCTTAGATACACGTTGAGACAACGTCCCGTCCGACCAATGTAGTACGTACCACCGCCAGACAAAGGGATTAAGTACACCACTCCGCTCGCACAGTCAGTGAAACGATTAGAGCTCTTTACAGATCAACTTTTACCGTCGACATCAGCTTGCCCCTTCTGAAAACTTTTTTCACCACAATTCCTAGTTTTTTGCCAGCTTGAAAAACAACATATATGAAAACAAAATTGTTCCTTGCCATAGTGACATCATTTCGCCTAACGCTCAGTGAAGTCCCTTTGGATGAATGCATGAAGCCTTTGGCAACGCATATTTAGTATGACGCGTAGAAAATACGCTGTTCCGGGTCGTTTCCATTAATTATATTACATACTGGTGCATCGTCAAGATGGTTACACTTGTCAGTGTCACCACATTATCTATGCTCAATATATAGGAAGATTGAAAGTGTCCACATTGAGCAGTAGCAATGGATACAAAACTAAACCTGCCTGGATACAAACGCTATATTTGGCACTGCACCACGGCTACAAAGGACAGCAACGAGGACGTAAACTGACAGACGGACATTGAAGGACTGCTGTCCACATCGATCCACATGTAAAACATGCTGCTTTCACGAGGGTTATTTTAGCACGTGGGAGTGCAATCCATGCTAGTATCATTCTTCAAGGTCTGCCATGAAACGTTAGAAGGTGATAAAGATCGATCAAGGCTATTTTACGAAAACGACAATGGGAACTAGCAAGACCCAAAATGTAACTTAGATGAACATATGGGTCATAGTAGAGATTGATCACGTATACAGCTTTGCACGCTAAAGCTGCAATTTTTGTCGTAGGAGGTTTTCCTTCCATGCATCCTGATTATAGACAGAAGCAGAGAAGCGGGCTTTCTTTTCTTTCTTGTGTGAGGCAGGATTGTTGTGTTATGAGTGGTCAACCTGAACCTGTGTTAAGCTGATCTCACTGTCACACTATAGGTTAAGAAAGCCACCATGCCACACTTACCTCGACGATAGACAGCGACGTGACCGATCAGGCAGAGGTCAGCAAGCGTGATCTTGTCACCGGCGGCGAACTTGCTTTCTCCAAGTAGGTGCTCAAGACACTTGAGTACTTTTTCTTCGCACTCCTTCACCTCATCTGCACTAGGTTTGGTACGTTTCAAGCATCGAGCCGCCTGTGAAAAGAATAAAAAATAATAAATCAAAATACATGAGCTTCTCGTTGGGAAGAAAGACATCTCTTTATACTTATGGCGGCTCTTACTTAACTTTAGGGTACTTCCGTGCTTCTTTATCATAGTGGAAAGATTTGTTTTGCCTGACCATTAAAATCTATGCCTAACAAATATAAATTCAATAAAAGAAAAAAAAAGGTGTTTACGAAAACTGATTTGAACTATACATGAAGATGCATAACCTAAAAAAAACTTTGAAGGAGCTTGATAGTGCAATGAAATCACTCGTGCCCTCCGCAACGGCGTACATATTAACGATATTCTAGTTTTAATTACAATAAACTGCTACAGTTATAACAACATGTAAGCATGAATTGAAATATCACGACTTGAGAAAATCTCGTACTCACGAGATAGGTCCCTAGGATAGGGCTAATGTTGCCATTGGCTGCTGCAAGCACCTGGTCGATGCGAGCGCGTGTCTTGATGCAGTTAGGGTAGAGCTGTGACTCGGGAGCATACTTCCGAAGGAGATAGTAGGCAATGGCATTGCTGCACAAGCAGAACGATTGACGCGTTAGCAAGGAGCAGAGTCATGTAAAAGCTGCCAAAGTGGCGCTTACTTCGATTATTTTTTTTCAAATTTTTTTTTTTCGTGAAAGCACTTTGTGGGCCCAGTACATGGTACATAGAAAGGCATCGAAAACTAAATGATATCATACAAAGCAGTTACCACATGCAGGTACCACATGTGTAACACAGAGCAGAATTAGGAATGTATCGCACCTCTCGTACACGATGAGGCCACCGTCGTCAATCGTAGGCACCTTGTGGAAAGGGTTTTTCTGCAAGAAATTAAACATAATAGTTCGCAATCTCAAAACAGCGGAATCGGTTTGCTATTTAACTGACACAAAATGTGCTATGGATGCATTCTGCAGTCAGTTTAAAGTCTCAAACGTCTGTGTTGTGGTCTGGTGTGAATCATTCGTAAACTCTCATAGGCTAGAATGAGACGAACATCATGAGGTACTGGTATAGTACGCTTGACACAATAACTACAAGTATTCTTTTCGGACCTAAATTCAAGTGTACAGTCAACCACTCAGACGACGAATTGAGAGAGCACTACAAATTTCAAGACTATCTGTTGTGTCGAGAAAAGGGAATCCAAATTTTCTATATAAAAGAAAATTTATAGCTTTCATTCCTTCACTAAACTCACTATTAATGACTTTGGTGCCCCACGCTGCAAAAAAAAAAGGAAGACGTGAACAATCGCCACCGTATGACCATTCAATGATACAGAAAGTCAAAAGTCTACCATTAACTACCTGCACAGTGGTAAAGGCTGTAAATGTTCAACAGAGGGTAAAACAGTGCGAAACACAGAGCAGTGAAAAAGAAAAACTGCTCATACTTCTACGCAAACGTGCCTCATTCTGGTATCTCAATATGAAGTAAATAGAATTTCAAGAACAATAAAACATGAATTATGCCTGTCTACCTGGTTCACAGACAAAACAAAGGAATCGATCCTATATTTTGTTGATCCTCATCTTGAATACCAATTAGAACGTGACCTCCTGAAATGTTTCAACACACTCATTCATCGCCTACGACTCGGAATTGCTTATACAAAGTACTTCCTTCTTTGTATTCATCGCGCAACATCGACCGCATGTTCATGCGGTCACGACGACGAGGATATCTGTCACCTCTTGCTCGACTGTCCGAAACACGACACACACCGAAGGCGACTAGAACAAGAACTGCATAGGTTAGATCCTGAGCGACCATTCGGGTTGAATGAAATACTAAATCCATGGCCATCCAAAACAAACGGCAAAGCAGTGAAGGTGCTGCAACAGTTTTTCGAGAAAAATAATATTTGTGACGAATACTGAGCGGACAAAAGTTAAAAGTGAGCGTGCCGTCTACGTGTTTGTTCTGCCCATATAGGAGAACTTTTGCTCTCACGCATGTAACGGTATATATGTATACATGCTATTGTTTTTTTTATATTTTATGTACCAATTAAGTCGGAAAGCGGTAGCCGTCGCGAAGTAACGGGTTACAAGAACTCCTTCGTTTATTTTCTATTTCAATAAAACGAAGAAGAAGACGAAGAAATTTAGTGCTCTACACTTTGTTTATTAAAGTCTTTATTAACTTCAAATATACAGACAGGCCTTAGTTTGTGCTGAAAGAACATTGGCCTTGCCTTTACTACACCTGCGAATCAATGCTCATGGGTCAGCACGATAGTTTCTTGCTGAGGGCTTAGCGGCACATGCCGATGAGCTGTAAAAAGCATTATGCCTGTCTGACTAGCATGACGGTGTATGTTTATGCTGGGTGAAAAAACCAAAAAATAGCCGTAAAACTCAAGATGACGGCGGCTAACCATAGCTTATTCACCACCACAAAAGCAGAACGTTCAGCGCGAGCGATGAAGAGTTTGCGTAGAGGGCTTTCAGCATCGTCATCACTGCTCAGCGTTTTTGTTGAAGAGACTAGAACATTGCGGTAGCTTCGCATATCGAATCGTTTTGCTTAGAAAAAAGTCACAGCATATCCACAGAGTGAATAATGATGAGTGGGGCGAAGTGTCCATGAGTCCGTCCATGCTTCCATCCATCCGTTCGTTCTTGCTTCCGTTTGTCTGTGCATTCGTCCGTTCGTGCTGTCCGCGCGTCCATCTGTGCGTTCATCTGTGCGTTCGTCTGTGCGTCTGTCTATTCGCTGCGTCCGTGCGTGCGTCCGCCTGTCCTATACATCTGTACGTCAAACAGACAAACAGACAGACGATGAATGGACGTGCCCAGTGAATGATTCATGGTTTGCTGATAAAACCTTCCGAAGCTTCACCCCACTCATGATCATTCCACTCCATGGATATGATGTGAGATTGTTACTACATGCAAGCATACACACAGGCGACGACCAACCCACGCCTTAAGGAGTTTCGCCCCTAAATATCTACATCGCATTTGGAACAAACAGCTCCAGCTTTAATCACTGCTGACATGGAACTTTTCAGTGTGCAATAAAAGACTGCACCTAGTAAATCGGTTGGCAGTGAAATTAGGTGCTGTAGAAAATACGGGTCCGGGATGTCAGTCTCATGTCCCACGTCATATACCTGTCTTATCCTGTCATCTCACGTCATCCCTCGGCATAACGCAGGCAAATTACCATAGCTAAGAGCAGTGTAACGTTGCGCAGCAGCATTGAGGTGAGAGGGGGGGGGGGTAGGGAAGAATGATGTGACAGTAGAGGAAATGAAAAAGGAAGGGGGTGGATACTGGAAGGTAAAACGCTGCGCGAAAAACACAGAGACTAGAAGGAACATTTACAACAGATGAGAGCAAACTATCAGCTTAAGTTTATTTCAGAAGACACCAATACACGCATAGAAGCTAAAGCATTGCACAGCATTCTGGGGCATCACAAGGCAAAAATCATGTAAACCACAGCCATGTGCAGCGTAGCCTTGTATAGTACACCAAAGGGGCGAGAAAGGAAACTGGTGAAGAAGAATAAATGGAGGGGGAAGAAAGTGAAGCGAAGCATAGGTGTGTGTGAGGTCTGGTGTAGGAACGGGTGAGAAACGAAAGCGAGGGTGCGCAATAGGGTTGTCAGCTTGAATAGCAGACAGAAAGGTGGAGAAATGAGGAGTAGAATGTAACGGATACCACAGTTTTGTATTGTTAAGTACAGGAAATAGGTGGAAAAGGGTTTTCAGATGACGGAGAGAGGAGTAGCAGGGGAGAAGGCGCCACTTCACCACAAATGATGCTATTTTTTCCTCGTCATCAACACCCAGCACGCTGCGGGATCGTAAATTAAGCGTCACCGATAAGCAAGCCAATTACCTCGGCACACTTCCAGCCGCTTCGAGGTAGGAACAAACTGCGTACATTTTTCTTTGACGTTATACAGTGGAACCAATTTGTAGCAATGCTCAAATGGCATGAAAATTTCATTGTAACCAATAATTGCTAAAAGAAGGCTCCGCTACAGAAAAAAGAAAATTATGGGGATGAGAGGCTGTTGCGACGAATCTATATTATGAGATGTGAAATGGCAACACATTTGAGATAAGGATGGCAAGCTTCCTCTTTTTCGGACATGCTAGAAAATTATTACGTTTTCACGGGACTTTCACAAGCCACCAGCCAATGTAGGATACTGTCTTTCGTCGTGGATGCAGAAACTATTCAAAGTCCCAACTTTTTTCTCAAATTGCTCGCTGACTGCATGAACCGAAACCACCACGCTTCCAGCACCATTGTAGAATTTAACTGTACGGTTCCACAACGCTGTGCAACGAAATAGTTGTGTGTTCGAAGAGCACCGGGGCAAAGTGCAGTTTTGGGCGGTGGTTCAGCGGCTTGAATTTCAAGGATATAATGTTCTATTACTTTTCAGTGCGGAAAGCCACCAACCTGAATTCATTGCTATAACCGATAATGTGGTGGGTGGGAATTGATGTAAGTGGCCTATTTCACCATAAAATCATACAAAGTTTCATGTTGCAGCATCTTCTCATTGTTATCATCAATATATTGTTAAAACCAGTATTGTTATTGTTATAAGTAGGCCCCGCCACGGCAGCCTAGTGGCTGAGGTACTCGGCTGCTGACCCGCAAATCGCGGGATCAAATGCCGGCTGCAGCGGCTGCATTTCCGATGGAGGCGTAAATGTTGTAGGCCCGTGTGCTCAGATTTGGGTGCACGTTGAAGAACCCCAGGTGGTCAAAATTTCCGAAGCCCTCTACTACGGCATCTCTCATAATCGTATGGTGGTTTTGGGACGTTCAACCCCACATATCAATCAAACAATTATAAGTGGGTTCAACCGTACAGCTTCGCTCTGTTTAAGCAGTCACAAATAAACAGACAGTCAGTGGCGTTATTTTTTTTTTTTGCAGAATTCAACATTACTAGCCATATACCACTGAGACTTGCCTATACAATTTATTTTACAATTTCTTTTCTGAATGGTAGGCGCAATTGAGCTTTGTGCAGAGAGAAAAAATAATAAAACTTGTTTTGGTAAGGGCTGTAGGGACTAAAACATGCACAGTCACTTTGTCAACAACACGCAAAAATACGAAATAAGGCCCATGTTCATTCTACAAACAGTGATATTACCTTGATGAACTCCGCAGAGCGGTGTTCTCCTTTGGCGCAATTGATTTCTTTGATGCTCAGCTGAACGCCAATCTCTTTCGCCAAGCACCGAATGAAGCTGCAATGTGGGCTGCCCTCAAGGTTGTACAGCAGGACCGGCATGTTGATCTCTGGCGACGAGCGGAAAAATCTCTAATGTGCGGCTGCGGCGGACCAAGAACATATATATATACTACAGCGACTGCTGCGTAAGAAAGGAGAAGAAGGAAGAAGCCTGTGGGGGAGCACGGAGCGGCTTGTTTGAGTAAGCGACAGTTTGTTTCTTATCTGGCGAGACGCAATATAAGCGGCCAGAAGGTTGCCGGAAAAGCGTGATTGCGTATAGGCCCCGCTGTGAGGCTCTATTAATAATTGCGGTCACGTACAGCAATGACTCTGCTACCGCAGCTTTCAATAATGGTGGTTGGACGGCGATGGAATTGTAAAAGTTGGAAAGACAGATATAAAAACACTCAGCCGATCGAGTAGTGAATTTACCTAGGGAACAGTGAAAAGATGTCTATTGCGTTATACAGTGCAACCCATTCAAGCCGAAAAAAAAATCATTGCTCGTGGCTTAGCGCTGTATAAAACGTAACAAGCTTAATCCCCGACAAGTCAGAACTTGTATTGGGCTGTTTCTGGCATTCGTTTGTCGCATTTAAGACCGCGTGTGTGCATATCTATTCTGTTCTTGCGCGGTTGGTTTGCCGGTTGACTTATGACGTTTTATGCCCCATAGTTAGGTTGTCAAAAATCGCGTCTTCAAATGCCATGTGTATTCATCTGTGCTGTGTTTTCTAATGTACACAATTATCACGTGGTAAGCTGGTCTCTGGCATTTCACTACTTTTCTCTTTGTGTTCAAAATGGAGAGTTATATTTGTTGCACAGCTTTCTCTGCCATTTTATAATTGAATCATCCAACCCGTCCGCATAGCGTTGCTCAGTAAACCAGAGGAGGAATAGCAATTCATGCTTACTGAGTTGCTAAAGGAGAGCAGAAAGGTAGGTTTTAACTTAGTCTGCAGAAAACGAAAGCGATGTACGGTGACCTCGGAAGAGAACAGCGCTTCCAGATAGATAGCGGTGCACTTAAAGTTATAAAAAAGTACGTCTACTTAGGACGTCTAGCAACCGCGAAGCCGTACATTCAGATTGAAGTAACTACAAGAATAAAAATCTGGTGGAGCACATTTTGAAAGCATTCTCATATCAACACTGGTAGATTGCCACTATGCCTCAAAAAGAAGGCACGCAACAGCTGCATCTTACCCGTACTTACCTACGGAGAAAAAACCTGAAGGATTACAAAGAAGTTTCAACTTAAGTTGAGAACGACACAGCGACCAAGGAAAGAAAAATAATAAGTGCAACCTTGGGGGAGAAGAAGAGAACAGAGTGTATTAGGAAACAAACGCGTGTTAAGGACATCCAAGACGAAATCAAGAAGAAATGGTCATGGGCTGTGCATGCAGTGCGAAGGCAAGGTAACCGCTGGTCATTAAAGATCATAGACTGGACTCCAAAAGAAGGCAAGTGGGTAAGGAGGAAACAGAAAGTTAGGTAGGCAGTTGAGGTTATAAAGTTTCAGGGTATAAAGATGAAGCAGTAAGCACAGGACCGAGTTGAATAGCGGAACACGGGAGATGCCTATGTCCTGCACGTGGGCGTAGCCAAACCGATGATGATGACTATGATCACCCTTCCTTAGCATAGGATTACGAAAAATAGTCAGCCTTTCATGTAGCCCGTTATTGCGGAATATCGGCTTTTGTGTGGTTTCGTAGTAATAAAATTAACCGGGTAGATCTCAGTCAATGTTTGAGAATTACTGTGACTGGCTACTTTTTGCATGTCGAGGTCAATAATGTATCAAGAATCTATTGCTCAGCGGCGCTTTATTCTCGAAAGCCCGTCACCAAGCTTTCATATGGACGTTTTTTTTTCGGTGCTATACTGAAATGTGTAATTCCAGTTTCGTAGTCATTTGAAGACGAAATGTAGGCTCAAACACGGTCATCAAAGAGAAACTTGCCGACTGACTTGGGACAGCGTACGCGGTCTGTAGATACCTGTTTTATCGAGTTGAATATTACCGCAAAATTGATTCCTTCTCAGAGTATTCCACCTGCAACTAGTTGTTTCTCTTTCGTGTCACGCTAGTTAAAATATGCCTTTCCAGTATGGTATCAACTTAGCAGTTGAGGACCATCTTTCGTAAGCGAAAGTTTATACAATCTCTTAAGTAGACACTGCTCAAATTCCAAGCATTTTTTACCGTTCCGGAAGCGGTTACATTGGAGGCCATAAACCTATGATATTACTAAATATGCACGTTATTTTATATACAGTCTAATGAATTTTTAATGATAATAGTTGCAAGAGTATATTAGTTGTGGCAAATAGAAGCTAATTTACAATCTTTTTGCGTTTGTATAGCGAAATAACCGTTTACAGCAATGCCCACGTGCGACATTATCGCTCATAACAATGAATTGGGCCTGTTTCGCTGTTTGAAAGATTATGGAACACAAAATTCCCCCGAAAAAGCAAAAAATAGTAATTTAAACTATCAAAGCCTCGTCCACGATCTCAACATCCCCCATCGTTCCTTCAGAATTACTGTAGGCTTTGCCACTGAACTAGCAATGCCAAAAAGCTTGTTTTCAAAACACTTTAAAGGGTCCCTCACCAGGCCCCATAACGAATCTTAGTTGGACCGAGGGAGTTGTGTGTCTAATCAAGAGTCTCATGGCACACATGTTGTTTTTTTCAACCGGTTCATTACGAGCTGAGAAAAACAGAATTTTTTTCTTGGAGCGGCACGAAAGGAAGATGCGAGGAGGCGTGCTCGAAACCCCTGCCGCTCTACACGCGTGTCCTTCGCAAGCCAAATCTCTTCTCTACCCTCTCCGGCATCCGGCCAAGAGGTCATGTGCGTCTGACATGCCCGAACAAGCCCCATCCCCGAGCACGCGAGTGGCGTTGTTGTGGTGACCAGCGTTATTTTGTGGTCTACTGCCTGTTTCTGCTGGGTGGTTTGAAAACGCTGGCTTAGACGTGCTAGAATAGACGACCATAATGAGTGCTCGAACGTGCTGGACCATAAATTTCTTTTTGAGGACTATACTCGGTGACAACTTTCTGTGGCAGCACAGCCAAGTCTACGATGCCCAAGCGCGTCCTTTTTTACTATGCTTCTGCATGTAGTTCACGAATGTCAAGTTTTGTAGATTGCTTAGCATAGTGAGAGATATCAAAGGAAAATATGTCAATATTATGTTCAAGATTGTTTGGGTTATTATTCAGGAGCATCATCCGTAAAGGTTTTCTGTTCTTTGCTGTTTCTAGCTTTCAGGTTTTCTGGTGCAATTCGACCTTTTTCCTGTTAGGTAAACAACGATGGCGTCACTCGGTTCCAGCAAGTTCACATCGAAGCTTGTGAGCAAGTACGAGTGCGTGTTCGTCAGGTGATTTGCTTTCATGAAGCAGGTAGAAACGAGGACAGTGATGCATCGTGAAATATTTTGTTTCCCGCACATGCAATCACGGAGTATTTGTGTGCAAGTGATATGATCAGCGGAAGTGGGACTCTAATTGCTATAGCCGCCTTGAAAGTGACACCGGAGACCTGCCAGTCTTCAGCAACACCAGCTGCTTGGATGAAAGAGTGCCATTGGAACTGTACGTAAACCAATGAACTTTTTTTTCTAAAGTGCATCGCACACGTAGTCTGTGTTTAGGCTGCCTAATATTGTGTATACGATAACGTTGAAGATAGCGCACCGTAACACCGCTCCCGACGGCGTCTACGGAGGGAGTCCTTCCTCGCGCTTTGCCTGGGTAACAGACGCATTCGTGTATATTACCCTGTTGATTGTGCAAAAACAGCGTTCTTGGCCGAGTAATGATTGCGTTACACCAACTTCAATTTACGAACGTCACACGCCTGCTCATGACCGATCGGTGTCAATATTTCTGCTTCCCGTCGTTGCCTGCCCGTCCCCTAAAGATAACGTGAGCTTCTCTAGAGAGCTCTTGCGTCTCTGAAAGAAAGAAAACAATGATGCCGACCAAAAATGCACTGGAATTTAGGAAATTATTTCTTGGCTTTACTTTGTTCCTATCGCCCAGCACCGAGGCCGTAATATATCATTTTTCTGAAATAAATCTCAACACTTCTGAATAGCTTCATGTTCTTTCCCTCCAAAATGAACATTTTATGTAATTCTTCTCATATATATGTAAGATTTATTGCATGGTGGTCGTAAGAAAGAAATGGCAGATCCCACGTTCACTGGGAATTGACGATATGCGAAGCACGAGTTTGGAAGGTTGATATGTCACTCTAAATTCAGCACATTGTTACGAGGTGGAGGTAAATGATGCCGAACATGAAGTACGTGTCATGATTATCATTTTTGTATGTGTCGTTTACCTTCGTCGCCTATTCATGTCCCGTGATATTGAATTTAGTGTATGTGGAGCTAGCGAAACGGCCGCGAGCACGCTATGAGCGTGATATGTTGTCATTTTTTAAAATGACACGCTTGTGAGCATTATTATGTTTGCACCAGTCATATACTTTCGTCATGCATCGACGTCATGTAACACCAAATTTGGTATATATGGACCTAGCAAAACAGCCGCGAGGGCATCATGAAGGGCCAATATACTCCAATGTAGCGTTGACGTGCGCGCACGCTAGGCACAGCGATGGTACGTTAGCAAAACGCGGGCGCTCTATAGTCTGATGCCAGGTGCGACTGGCGCTGCAGGGTCCGTCAGCGCGGCCTGACGGCAACCGGCACAAAATGCGACATGCTGCATTTCGCGCCGATGCGTTACTCAGGCAGCACTGTGTGTCCCTCTTTTCGTGACAAAGGAACGCCGGACGTGGCGAAGCGCGCATGCGTCAAAGCAACGCAGCATGGCGCGCGCCTGCGAGTATAGGTTAAAGTGCCAACCACTGGCACGCGTATGCTTGCGCCTACGCGTCAAAAGCGTCTAGTCGCGCCTGTGGAGGAAAAGGGCGTGCAACTACTGGCACGCGTCGACCACGTTGACGCCCACGCGTCCAAGGCCGATGCGCAATGTTGCTTGATCTTTTGGCTTGGAACTGTCCAAGTTCAGCACAGAACGGCACGTTCTCAACTGGAGCGGCAATGTATGTTTCAGAGGATATGAGAACACGTTAACAAGTTGATAGTGCTTCAACCACCACAG